CTGCTCATGCGTGAACTATAATCGTTGCAAAGGATGGCCGAATACAAGTCGGCCCATGCTAGGTCCAATAAGAGCCATAGCCGAGTAAAACCAAGTTAGAGGGCCATTAGAGCCGCATAACCTGTGGGCTGCATGGGACCCCAGGGACGAGGACGAAGCCGAGGCCCAGGAAAAAGAAGTGGCTCCGTGGAAGGCCCCTGGCGAACATTATAAAAGGAGGAGCCATAATCAAGAAAAATGAGAGATAACTTGTGAGAAAAAAAAGATCAGAAGGGACACCATCAAGTTGAGAGAAAAGTATGGATCAAGAAGGTTTGTTTGAACAAGAGTATTTCTAAATCTATTTCACCACAATTAATATAAGTCATGTTCTCTTACATCTAGAATGTGTCTAAAAGTGTTGATGAACCTATTGTAGGTACCTCATGGCCCAACATGGAGTAGTGTAAATCAAGCACATATTTAAAAAATGCATGTGTGGACCGCTTGGCAAATGAAGTAAAAAAGCTGTAGGATTGTACCTGTGTGGCACCTATCTATCTTGTAAAGCATCTAGATGATGACGCTCGTGGGGCTATATTCCCCATAATTTTGTTAAACTCTATAACTTAATATTTGAATTTCCATTTTTACCCAAAAAAAAAAATGAAATTGAATTATGAAATTCTCCAATTATGTATAGCATTATTCTATTAAAAATTGTGTAAAAAATATTTTTAAAATAATGAAAACATTAAAATAAAAAAATAATAATATCAATAAATAAGTGTTTTAAAATTATTGAAAACATTTTTTAATTAATTATTATTATTATTTGCACAAGATACATTATTAGATTTAAAGAAACTATAACAAGTAATAACTCTATAAAGAAAAATTCTAGGAATACTAACAATCTTACTAATACACTCATAAGTTGATGTGGGTCCTATACCAAGTGATGGTTGATTTTATCAAAACTTTTGAGTGTGTTAGTAAGATTGTTAATAAATGTGTAAGTATCCCTAGCATTGTTGCTCTATAAAATAGATAAAGTTATTCACCCGTAAATATGATGCTTTAAATGTATTTGAATGTAATGCCATTAAATCTATGTCACACACTAGTATGTGTGATTAGTCCGTCCCCTTCTGAGTCCAGATCGTCTGTCGCAGTTTCCTACGATGGTTCTTGCGGCGGTCCAAAACGACGTCATTTTGGCCTTTTTATTTTTTTTTTCTTTTGAGCCTCATTTTCTTCTCTCTTAGCTCTCAAATCAGAGAGACGAAGATGGACGATGATGGCTGCACTCTGTCTCTCTCACTCTATTGCTGGCACTCTCCTCCTCCTCCTCCTCCTCATCTTCTTCTTCTTCATTGAAATCAACCACCTTCACTCTTCCTACAGAGAAAGAGGAGTAACAATCATACAATTCTGAACAAGTTCTATAAAACTTTGAAAGATGCCGTTGTTTGCTTGCAAGAGAATGCGATCACTGCACCACTCATTCCAAAGCATCAATTTGTTTACTTATTTGCTTCATCTCATTCTATGATTCTGATTTTGATTTTGACTAGCATTATTCCTTCCAATTGGTGGATTCAACTTAGCACCATCACCAAAATTTGCAAAATTATCTACACCTCCTCCTCTGTTATCCATTTCTCTCTCTCTCTCTCTCACACACACACAGACACACACACACACACACGAGCACTAGCAACAACACTAGCATTGTAATGTTGAACCAAATTTGTATTTCATTCAAAAGAAACGCCAAAATTGCAGATACGAACACTGCTTGCGCAATTCAAGATCAGATCCGAACCAAACTTAAGCCAATCAAACTCATATCAGTACAAATCAAACCATTTCGAACACGAATATGAGAGATTCAGACAAAAGAAGGCCTCAAGCAAACCTTTTGAACACATATATGAAGGAATTGAATCAATTTGACCCAAAAGAAGGCCTTAATCAAAACTTTTGCTAAATATTTGATATGATATTTGAAAACAACTTCATGAATCAAACCCACTTTGTGTTCAAAAAAAAAAAAAAAAAAAAACCATTTACAAAACTATGAATGAAATTGAGAGATTCCAAAAACAGTTCAAAATGGAAAAGATCCACCATCTAAGTAGATCCATTGTGTTTTCGTGTTCTCTTCTCCCTGATTATGTGTATCCTAACTTTGGCTAGTCCAAATCTGTTTCAACAGACGAACAAATGAGGTTGTTGGCAGAGGTGGTGGGCGGACGAAAAGCGAGGGTTACGACAGTGGCAGAGAAGCAATAGGAGTTTGCTGGCGAGAGAGAAAGAACAAGGCCCTGTTTGAAGAGGTGTATTTAATATCTTATCCAGCTCAAGCTCGTCGCAGCTACTCGCCATCCATCGTCATCTCTCTGTGTGTTTGGGTTGTGGTTTCTCAGACATTTGAGAAATAAGAGAGAAGAAAAAGAGGCTAAAAAAAAAAGAGAAAAAAAAAGAGTCCAAAACGACGTTGTTCTGGACCGCCGTAGATGCTACCGCAGGAAACCGTGACAGATAATCTAGAGTCATCTCGTTTCTGCAATTCAAGATCAGATCCGAACCAAACTTAAGCCAATCAAACTCATATCAGTACAAATCAAACCATTTCGAACACAAATATGAGAGATTCAGACAAAAGAAGGCCTCAGGCAAACCTTTTGAACACATATATGAAGGAATCGAATCAATTTGATCCAAAAGAAGGCCTTAATCAAAACTTTTGCTAAATATTTGATACGCTATTTGAAAACAACTTCATGAATCAAACCCACTTTGTGTTCAAAAAAAAAAAAAAAAAACCATTTACAGAATTCTATGAATGAAATTGAGAGATTCCAAAAATAGTTCAAAATGGAAAAGATCCACCATCTAAGTAGATCCATTGTGTTTTCGTGTTCTCTTCTCCCTGATTATGTGTATCCTAACTTTGGCTAGTCCAAATCTGTTTCAACAGATGAACAAATAAGGTTGTTGGCAGAGGTGGTGGGCGGACGAAAAGCGAGGGTTACGACAGTGGCAGAGAAGCAATAGGAGTTCGCTGGCGAGAGAGAAAGAACAAGGCCCTGTTTGAAGAGGTGTATTTAATATCTTATCCAGCTCAAGCTCGCCGCAGCTACTCGCCATCCATCGTCATCTCTCTGTGTGATTGGGTTGTGGTTTCTCAAACATTTGAGAAATAAGAGAGAAGAAAAAGAGGCTAAAAAAAAAGAGGAAAAAAAAAAGTCCAAAACGACGTTGTTTTGGACCGCCGTAGAAGCTACCGCAGGAAACCGTGACAGATAATCCAGAGTCATCTCGTTTCTCCTTTTGTTTCACATGTCCACTTTACATTTAGTTCCTTTATCCCCCGACCAACCAACCAACCAACCAACGACCACCACCACCTTCCTTCTCCTTTCATCTTTTCCCACACGCCCTATTTGCTTTCTTTTCCCTATATCCCATAATCCCCACCATTGACCATCATATCTATTTCCCTTCCCTATTTTTCAAAACCCTACGACTTTGCATTTCCCTCTCTTACGGAGCCCCCACCATTGACCACCATCACCTCTTTTCTTAGCCACAACCACTTAATATCATCAATTTTAAAGATTTTGAAAATTTGATCTTGTTCTACATAAATTCTTCATTTTGTATGGTTGTATTTTCCATCGATTTGTGTTTCATATTTAGGCCTCGTTTGGGAACAAGCTAATTTAGTAACTTTTTGACTATTTGGCTAAAATATAAGTTAAAAAAAATTAGTATCACTACAAGAAAAGTGGGCAAATAACACGGAACTTTTTGCGACGGTGTGTATGCTGTCGCAAAAAGTGGTCTTTTGCGACGGCATATGAAGCCGTCTCAAATACTGTTTTTTGCGACGGCAGTTTCCCCGTCGCTAATAAACACATAACAAAAAATCACTTAGATATGGAAGTATTAGCGACGGCACTGTGTACCGTCGCAAAAAATATTTTTTGAGACGGGTGAAATTTACCGTCACAAATAGTAGACATTTGTGACGGGAATGCTCTATCGCAAAAAAAAATCCCTTAATAAAACGGCGTTATTTTGTAAATGGATTTGATCATTTGCGACGGTTTGCCATGCCGTGGCAAATAGTCTGAAATTTCATCTCCCTCCTTCAGCCGAAATGGCGCTCGATCTAGAAGCCACTCCCGGATTGAAAAAAATGGGTTAGAGAGAGAGAGTCTGCCTTCTCTCTAGAAACATTCCTCGTTTGTAGGGTTTCAACTTCTCGTTGATAATGACTGCTTCACTGCATTCTGACCCATTTTCTGTAATTACTGCTACGCTTGTTACTGATCCTAGTAGGGCGATGAATATTAGTGATATTAGTGGTGAAAATCCTGAAGGGAAATCAGTGTGAAATGGTCTGTCTGAGAGTGATCTTTAACAACTGATAGATCTCGCGAATAATAGGGAAGGAACTACAGAGCAATCTCCTCGGCTCTGGCGAGTCGTCCTCAAGCCCTTAAGGATGCCATCAAGGTAGATTTACCACTAACTCCCAAATCAAGGGTTGTAGATCTACATGAGTGTCGTGATCTATCTTCACAGCCCGTGTTAGGGCTAGATCTGGGGGATACATCACAGATTGCAGCGGTATCATCCCTGAAATGGAGCGCCATGGTTGATTCAGAAAACCTCAAATTTGGAAATGTCCAAGATAGTTTGGTACGCACTAAGGCGAAGGGTCTGGCAACGGCATCAGCAGAGGAATATATACCTGTGGGAGATATCGTCGTAGACAACCTGCAAGGTATGAATCTGTCGTCTCTGGCTACGAAATCCGATAAGGAAAATGATATACAAGTCCGTAGAGTCGCTGAAATGGAGGGTTTTCCTCAACAGAACCTGCATCAAGGGGGTAGAGGGCAGAGTTCGTATAGGGGAGGTCGTGGGCGAGGGGGTTGGGGCAACCCTAACTCGTTGAGAGTAAACTCTTCTGCTGTAGCTTCAAACCAAACAACTAAATCCCGGGCTGAGGTTGCTACCATGCCTAGTAGATCTTCAATTAAACTAAGGTACATTCCTCCTCCAGCATCTGATGACCCAAATGTTGTGGATTTACCTTTTAGGGAGGTGGGGTTGGAAAAATGAGAGTCTTGTTTGGTGGGGTACTTCTTGGACAGAAAACTTCCATTCCATTATATTAGGAATAATGCTGTTAATATTTGGTTTTGTGGTTCAGATGGGGAAGCTGAAAAGACTCATTCAACCTAGGGACATTACCATAAACATTGGAAAGGATGCCCCAATTCCCGAATGCCCTATCCCTGGTGAAAGGTGGTTGTTTCTGCCATAATTTTATTGGAAAATAGGAACAAAGTTGTGTCTCTGTTTTAAGATTTTTAATAAATTAACTTTACAAATATTTGATCTCTGCAGATGGAAAGAAATAAGGCATGACAACACAGTTACATGGCTTGCTTTTTGGAATGATCCAATCAACCCAAAGGAATTCAAATACGTGTTCTTGGTAGCTAACAGTTCTTTGAAAGGGCAAAGTGACAAGGAGAAATATGAGAAATTAAGGATGTTGAAGGTACTTTACATAAAATTTTACCTACACATCTGATGAATGCCATTTCTATTTGTGTTAGACAATGTAGTAGTAAATTCCCGTCCCTTAGCTATAACTATAATTCGTTGTTTGATTGTAGGACTACATACAAGGCATCAGAGCAACATATACTAAGGATTTTGCTAGTAAGGATATCACAAGGCGGCAAATAGCAGTTGCCACCTATCTTATTGATAAACTAGCTCTCAGGGCAGGCAATGAGAAGGTATGGTGTATGTAATTGTTTTCATCATGTTTATGTTTATCTTTTACTCTCTTGTTCATGGAACATCCTCTTTCTTTTTCATCCCAATGTAGAAACATAGTTGAGAATCTGACAACAGGTAATTGGTTAAGACTCTGTTGGATGGGGTGGACAACCTTCTCTGTGGAGGAAACATAGTGATGCAGATCATCTTACAGATGCTAATAGTGTTTTATTTACTTTATATAGATGCATGCTTTAATGTATAAACACATGTATTATGTACATATGATGCGTCGTCTGCGATCTTGCTCAGAAAGTAAATAGAAACATAACAAAAAAAACGAAACAAGTTTTGGAGCCTTTATTCTTATAATTGTTTCGATCTTTTTTTTTGGGAATACAACACGCTGATGATGATTAAATAAGTAAACAGAATTAACCAATGCTGAAGATTGACGGTCAATTACTCTTTGAATTTTTGGTAAAAAATTTTCAGAAAACTTTCGTTCTTCTGGACTGTAATTCGACATCTGCGATTATGTGTAAAACCTTGCTCTGATACCACTGAAAGATTAACTCACAATTGCCATTGATTGGAATACCCGTGAGGGTGTTTATCACGCAAGAATGTTAATTATCCGGAAGATAGAAAAATAGTTAACTTTTGTAGTTCTATATCTATCTATTATTCACAACCTGTTATCACTATTTATATATCAATAGGAGACTCTTGGCAATAGGTATAATCTAAGAACAGTTGCCATGTTTCACAGAGTTGTGTCTGTTGATAATTTGAATTCAAATTATCAACCAGCTAACGGATTCTTACGGGAAGGTTTATAACACTGCTAGGGAGAAGAATTCTAATGAAGTGAGTCACACCAATTTTATGGTGTGGTCATTCTTTATTCCATCAGAAATCACTACTCTAGACTAGAAACAAAGACGAAGACTCTAGAGATTAGTATATAAAAATAAAATAAAAATTTGAAGGTTCACAATATAATTTTTTAAAAATATTAAATCATATAACATCTTAGTTGAGTGGCATACAATCAGAATAAATATCAAATAATATAAAGAACTTTCAAATAAACACATAATTTTCCGATCATCCTCATAATTTTCCTAATCATCCCCGTAATCGGAATTGTTATCCTTAGAATCCCCATAATCGTAATTATTGCCCTGATCACTCTCATAATTGTTCTCCTGATAATTTATGTAATTGTTGTCCTGAGTATCCTCGTAATTGTTCTCTTGATCATCCCTATAGTTGTAATTATGATCGTGATAACCCCCGTAGTGATTCTCCTGATAATCCCCATAATTGTTGTGCTGGTTATCCCCATAGATGTTTTCCTCATAATCCCCGTAGTTGTTATTATTATCCGGATTACCACCGTAATGGTTACCCACATTGCTTCTGTAACTGTTTTCCTGATTATCCCCATAGTCGTAATTGTTGCCCTGATCACCCCCGTAGTTCTCTTGATAATCTTCGTAATTATTTTCTTGATTATTGTAATTGTTGTCCTGATTAACCCCGTAGTTGTTCTCCTGATAATTCTCATAATTATTTTGTTGATTCCCTCCGTAGTCGTAATTGTTGCCCTGATCACCCCCGTAGTTCTCTTGATAATCTTCGTAATTATTTTCTTGATTATTGTAATTGTTGTCCTGATTAACCCCGTAGTTGTTCTCCTGATAATTCTCATAATTATTTTGTTGATTCCCTCCGTAGTCGTAATTGTTGCCCTGATCACCCCCGTAGTTCTCTTGATAATCTTCGTAATTATTTTCTTGATTATTGTAATTGTTGTCCTGATTAACCCCGTAGTTGTTCTCCTGATAATTCTCATAATTATTTTGTTGATTCCCTCCGTAGTCGTAATTGTTGCCCTGATCACCCCCGTAGTTCTCTTGATAATCTTCGTAATTATTTTCTTGATTATTGTAATTGTTGTCCTGATTAACCCCGTAGTTGTTCTCCTGATAATTCTCATAATTATTTTGTTGATTCCCTCCGTAGTCGTAATTGTTGCCCTGATCACCCCCGTAGTTCTCTTGATAATCTTCGTAATTATTTTCTTGATTATTGTAATTGTTGTCCTGATTAACCCCGTAGTTGTTCTCCTGATAATTCTCATAATTATTTTGTTGATTCCCTCCGTAGTCGTAATTGTTGCCCTGATCACCCCCGTAGTTCTCTTGATAATCTTCGTAATTATTTTCTTGATTATTGTAATTGTTGTCCTGATTAACCCCGTAGTTGTTCTCCTGATAATTCTCATAATTATTTTGTTGATTCCCTCCGTAGTCGTAATTGTTGCCCTGATCACCCCTATAGTTGTTCTCCTGATAACTCCCGTAATTGTTGTCTTGATTATCCATGTAATCGTAAACGTTGCCCTGATCATCTCGGTAGCTGTTGTCCTGATAATCTCCGTCATTGTTGTCCTGATCATCTCCATAATCGTAATCGTTACCCTGATCACTCTCGTAGTTGTTCTCCTGATAATCTCGATAGTCATAATCATGGTTCTGATGAACCTTGTAGTTGCTCCCCTTATAAGTCCTGTAGTTGTTACTATTGCTCTGATCACCTCCGTAATTGTCTTGATTATCTTGATCATCAATATCATTGGCATCGTTGCTGCTCAAATCACTCCCATAGTTGTCTTGATTATCTTGATCATCAATATCATTGGCATCGTTGCTGCTCAAATCACTCCCATAGTTGTCTTGATTATCTTGATCATCAATATCATTGGCATCGTTGCTGCTCAAATCACTCCCATAGTTGTCTTGATTATCTTGATCATCAATATCATTGGCCTGAGTAGTAGCGATACGATAATTAGTACCTCTACTTGTACTCCCATATTGTCGCTGTGGAATTGGCTCTCCAAATGCGAAAGAGAAGTCAACAAAGCCTTGCTTTTCCCCGGAGGAAGTCACAACTGGATACCGGACCGCCTGAGAAGCGGTCCCGTTACGTGATGTCATGTCGAAGAGGCGTTTGACGGAGACACAGACTCCGCCGACGTGTTTGTCACCTAAGATTCGAGTGCAATAAAAGTTGATGTTGAGATAGAGGAGGTTGTTTTGGAGAGATGGGTTATGGAGTCTGAAATCCATGCGAGTGTTCTTCCATTTGGGATTTGTCTCTCTTTCGTAATCCACTGAGGTCCTGAACTCCGACTTATGGCCCGTTGAAGGGCCGCCGGTGATGGAGATGACGGCGTAGACCTTCATCTTGCCGAAGAACCTGATGTCTCTTAGGTTTTTTGCTGAAATGTTGGTGATGACTAAAGGCTTGAAGTGTTCCATCTTTCGAAGAGAATTGAGAGAACTACAGAGAGCGCAAAGGGCCAAATGTTGGATTTATAAGATGAACAGGCTTGAAAAAAAACATTAAACAAAGACTTGGTGAAAGAAAATATAATATTATTATAATGATTATTATTATTTTATTATATATACGTAGCATGCAGACCACAGTAGATGATCATGTTTCAATATTCTTTAACTCAAACAAACCGAAAAAGAAAATTACAAGCACCCCATAAAATTAGCAGTAAATAATAAATCAAAAGAACACAATACATTAAAAACTAAAAATCACCGCCATCACCATACCAACCATGGTAACCAGCCGCATCAGACGCCATATCCCCTATCAACATCCCACCGATGAGTCCACCCACCAACCCCGCACCCAACCTGAACCTATTGTTCGTCGGTGCCTGTTGAGGTTGTTGCATTGGCGGATATCCATACCCTTGTGCCATAGGCGGGTATCCCGCTGGTAGTGGATATTTGTATCCACTCGATGCAGGAGTTGGGTATCCTACACAACCACTAGATGTAGGATACCCGTACCCTCATGCTCTCAGTGCAGGTGGAGAGTACCCTGCAGGCGGAGGAGGGTAGCCTGATGGCGGGTAGAACCCCGCCACTAATGAGGGGTACGGTTCTGTTTGCACTGCAAAGTGCAGTCGCAAAAGGCGAAAATGCCGTGGCAAAATATTTGCCGTCGCAAAAATTCTTTTGCAACGCTCCCAGTTGCGACTCTCCTCTTGCCGTCGTAAAAAGTCATTTGCCGTCTTAAAAAAAAATTTACGACGACATTAAGAATATTAGCGACGGCATTTTACTGTCGCAAAAAACTAAAATTTTAGTAGTGATATTCTCCAATCAAGCGTATTCCACTGAAATTATACACCTTAAAGAGACCGTTATTGCTGATTGCTGGTCAAGTCCAGTGGTGTGGGACCATCACATAGATTTCTGCATCAAAATTAATAATAATCTATATAATAAAACAGGACGGATTTTGAAAATATATAAAATGTATCAGAGATACACTTCATTTCAAGGGCTCAGATCAATTGTGATACACATCAATGGTTGAGATTTTGCTTCAATTCCCGCCCAAACACTCGGAGCTCTCTCCCACCTACCCACGTCTCCTCCCCCGTTCCATCTTTATCTCTTCTCTATTGCACTTCTCCTCCCATTCCCTCCTTATCTCTATCTCCCTCTTTGTTTCTCTTCTTTATCAGAGACGCTACCTCTCTCCTTCTCTCTCACCCGATCTCTGCCTCTCCCCCCACCCTCCCACTCGCTGCCTCTCTCCCTCTCCCTCCTTTCGTAGAGTGCCTCTCCCCGTCTCCCCAATCAGGGTTTAGAAAGGTATCGCGGTTCTTAATCGGAGCTACTTCAGAGCCAATATCAAGAGCCCAGAAACGCTTCTTACTCTCTTCAGAGCCCAGAAACGCTTCTTACTCTCTTAATCGGTGCTGGATTCATCGATCCTTCTCCTCTGTTTTCTCACTCACTCAGGTTCGATTCATTTTTTTTTTTCTTCACATGATATTATTTTACAATTTTCTGCCTGGTGCTAAAAATGGAGATATGCAATTTTTTATTTTTTATTTTTTTGCCCTTTTCAATTTTGTTTTTGTTGATTTTGCTACAAGGTTTGTTTGTAATTTGTGCATTTTTTCATCGGTGATGTCGAAAGATTCTACTTTTGATTCGTCTTTTGGAAACCCCACCTGCAAATGGTACTTTGATGTTTTGGGCATTGATGTTTATTTTTTTTCTTTTACACTGTTCATGTTATATATATTTTAATTTTTTTTTTAATATGATGCATTGATGCTAAAACTTGCAGATGGTACTTTTCTTCTGTTAATATTTTGGTCCTTTTAGTTTATTTTTTCAAACCTTTACCTTTGGTTTTCCTTAAAATTTTCCTACTTAATTTGAAATGAATTATTTATTCAAGGTTTAATTTGATGACAATTTTTTTACTTTTTCATTATTCCGGCAAGGATTCTACTATTATAACTGTATGTATATCAATTAGTGAGGAAAAGCTAAGGGTAATTGCTAGCTTCTTCTACTGTAACCTCATTGCAGGGAGCGCAATTTATCTGTATTGATTTTGCAGTTGTTTGGAACCAGTTTTGTTTTAGTTAGAAAATGATGGTTCAGAAGAGTGCAGAGAGAGGAAAATTACTAAAAACATTGAAGTTTTAAGAAGTTATTAGTGAGTTAGTTGTGCACTGTGGCAAGGGACCTTTAATTTTCTGAATTTTTATGGCAAATGTGTTCACATCCATGTTACTAGAAAATACTAATATTCTAGCGAATTACTTATTAGTATGCATGTTCCGAAACATGGTACACTTTCGTTCCAAAATTATAAATTTTGTGGTCCGAAGCGATTCCAAAAGTTTCTGTAAATGTATTTCCTTAAATGTTTTCTTAGGAGGAAAAAAAATCAAATATAATGAACTAAAATCAAAAGTGGACTGTTCTTAATTTCTGGTTGATTTCGGCCAGAATTTATTTATGCAATTTTTATTTCAATTTTATACATTACATAGGTATGGTAATTCTTTTTAGGTAACAAACAATGCTGTTTGGATAGATATGTAGTTTTTTAAGTAGACAATCAGTTTGTTTTCCTGTTATATTGTCTGAGGACATTTGATCACAGGCATGGTTTTTATTTGTGAAAATGTAAGGATCAAGGTTTCCATGAACCGTCTCCGCCACTTTAACAACCTCCTATTTTTCTACTATTTTCTGTCACTTTCTCGCAATTTCTTGGGCTATCTACTGTTAATTTCTGAGTTCTGATTTCTGAGTTCGTTTATCAAATCCCTATTTTTCTACTATTTTCTGTCACTTTCTCGCAATTTCTTGGGCTATCTAATGTTAATTTCTGAGTTCTGATTTATGAGTTCTGAGTTCGTTTATCAAATCCCTATTTTTCTACTATTTTCTGTCACTTTCTCGCAATTTCTTGGGCTATCTATTGTTAATTTTTGAGTTCTGATTTCTGAGTTCTGAGTTCGTTTATCAAATCCCTATTTTTCTACTATTTTCTGTCACTTTCTCGCAATTTCTTGGGCTATCTACTGTTAATTTCTGAGTTCTGATTTCTGAGTTCTGAGTTCGTTTATCAAATCCCTATTTTTCTACTATTTTCTGTCACTTTCTCGCAATTTCTTGGGCTATCTACTGTTAATTTCTGAGTTCTGATTTCTGAGTTCTGAGTTCGTTTATCAAATCCCTATTTTTCTACTATTTTCTGTCACTTTCTCGCAATTTCTTGGGCTATCTACTGTTAATTTCTGAGTTCTGATTTCTGAGTTCTGAGTTCGTTTATCAAATCCCTATTTTTCTACTATTTTCTGTCACTTTCTCGCAATTTCTTGGGCTATCTACTGTTAATTTCTGAGTTCTGATTTCTGAGTTCTGAGTTCGTTTATCAAATCCCTATTTTTCTACTATTTTCTGTCACTTTCTCGCAATTTCTTGGGCTATCTACTGTTAATTTCTGAGTTCTGATTTCTGAGTTCTGAGTTCGTTTATCAAATCCCTATTTTTCTACTATTTTCTGTCACTTTCTCGCAATTTCTTGGGCTATCTACATAAAAATAAAAATAAAAATAAAAATAAAAATAAAAATAAAAATAAAAATAAAAATAAAAATAAATAAATAAATAAATAAATAAATAAATTGATGTTATTTCTTTAATATTGAAATATATATTTTATTCTTTTATTTACAGACTATATTTATTAATTACAATTATTTTAACTTTATTAAAAGACATATCGATATAATTATATCAAACTCATGATATTTATTATATTTAGTAGTTAATAGACTCACAACAAATGATTAGTAGAATCACATTAAAGAATAAGATCCTCTGTTAGGGAGCCAGCATGGTTTGATTTGGTTTGTTTAAGTGTAAATTAATGACCAATCGACTATCTACATATTCATAAAATTTGAAATAAAATCATAAAAATCTTAGAAGCAAATCGAACCGAACTAATAAAGCACTATCCGGTTCTTTATTTTGATAAAATGAAATAAAACATTTTCTTTAGTAGATGAAATAAAAATTCATCTGGCTCGGTGGATAAAGAACAACTCATCAAGATCTGCTAGATTCTCAATTCAAGATTCCATTATCCACATCTAAGACATTCGAATGATCAAAGCAAAAAAACCGTAATTTTTCAGTTTGTTTTTCATGCAACCTCTATTTTTGTTTAGTTCTTGCGATTAGATTGGCATCTTGCCATCTATCCCCTGTTTTTCATGCTTTGGGCAATACATAATTGGGCGTTATGATGGATGTTAATCTAATTGGGATTCATTTATAAGCTTGATGCTTCTCTTTCTGCATCTTTTATTTTTTTGATGTACCTTTCTTGTACTGTTTCACAATTTGTTGCATCAATAATAAAAAATTTTGTCGATCAAAAACAAAAATGGTTTTAAGTAAATTAAAATGTTTACTTATTATTTCAATATATTTGACTTACTACTTAATCAAACATGACTTACTACTTTATTAGACTTGACTTACTACATAATAAACTTTCACTTATTATTTTATTAGATTTGACTTACTAGTCAATGAGACTTCACCTATAATTTTATGATAAGTAGACTTGACTTACTATTCAACGAGATTTCATCTACTATTTCCTTAGATTTCATTTACTATTTCATTAGACTTGACTTACTACTCAATTAAACCTCACACCTACTATTAAATGAGAATCAACTTAATGCGTCATTAGATTTGACTTACTACTACTTATTTATTCAATAAAATTTCATTTACTCAATGAAGTTTTAATTATTACTTGATTAACTATGACTTACTACTCAATAAAATTCCACTTCATGGACTCGACTTGCTACTCAATTAAACATTACTACTCAATGAGATTTCACTTACTATTTCATTAAACTTGACTTACACAATCAACTCCACTTAATACTCAATTAAACATGATATATTACTCA